CAGTCACTCAATACGCGCTCACTTGACTCAGCCAACTCACTACGTAGGCTCCCGCGTGGGCGGGAGCGCCATAAAGGTCACATTAAGAAGGAGCCATTGCAGCCTGACACTCAGTTCTCCATCTCCTCGCATACGCACACACAAACACACGCGTACTAGAGGAACAGCAACGTAGGTGGCCGAGTTTTCCCGTCAGTTGGCAAGCCTTCCAAGCCACGGATTTTAGTGCACCGTGATAGATTCAAGTGCATTCAATAAACTATACAAAAACCAAAACAACCGACGCCAATCCCCTCCCTTAACCAGTCCATCCCTACTTTATTACGAGTCAGCCTACACTGCCCATTTTTTTTTATCAGAACCCTTTATTTAATTCTGGGGGGTGGAATATTGCTTGTACTGAAAGCTCTTCAGTTGGCGCGCAGTTAAACCCATTTTGTCAATGCTGTCTACTAACTAACACTATGAACTAAACTACGTCAGACCTCCTGGCAATAAAAATGTGCGTAAGCAAGCCTGGGTCGAACGCGTGTTCAGGTACGATTTAAAAAAAGTAACCATGGCCGTCATTTTCAAAGGAAAAGTCAAGAATAGACCAAAGCAAGGGGTCCTGTTTAGGTGGGTGACAGGGAAACACAAAAGCTAGGGGAGCAACACGCACGTTGTCAGAGGAAGGCTCTAAGAGAGTGGACGTGAAGAATGTTCAAACTTGTTCGACAGAAGGTAGCATGTCCCGCAATTTCTCCACGCAGCGTTCAGCTCCAGCTTTTGTATTTTACCTACGCTTAGCTACTCTAAGGTACACCACCAGCCACCAATGCAAATGGCCCCAGTCCACTTCTGCCACAAGCATTGGCTGCAATACTGCACCGTCAGTACCGGCCTCCGAGCAGCGAATCCTCCTCACATCCCGCTTCATGAGGACGCCCATCATTCTCACATATACTGTACGAACGAAACCATTGAAACCCATTTCCCAGCAACCACGCATCCCCCAAGGACCATTGTTAGCGAGCCAAGACTTTGCCAGGCACTATGATAATGTCAACTTATCTCAGCTCCCCGGATGATCGAACCTATTCTTGGTGTCGCCTAAATACACCCACCAGATAGTGTACTTGGTTCCATGGAGGATGCTACCACAGTTCTGCAGCGCCGTGCATTTTTGCACCAATTATAAACAGTACAGTGTGAATTGCTCCAGAATATTACTACAGTGTGTCGGTGAAATGAGCAGTCTGTTGTCTACTATGTGTTCAGCCTCCATAAATGGAGCACTCATCGGTTATATATACTTCGTAAAATCGGAATTTTTCATGCTAAAGTGATCACGCGCTTCCCTATAACTCCACAATGGATAGTGGCCAGTGGATTAAAATGGTATTGTTGGTCATTGGGATGATGACGACAAAACATGATCAGGCACTGAAGGAAGGGATTGATGGGAAGACTATACACCACCTTCAGATATGCGGCTCTATGTTACAGGCAACAAAATAAGCACCCCTAGCGCTTCTCCTAGGACCGTCCAAGCTTGTCCGAAAAAGGTTTAAAAATAGTCTAGTCGGACCACTATCTACTAACTTCGGCAATATAAAAACGCAACGCTTATGCGCTTGGATTAAAAATTAACCTTTACTGTCCAAAATTTCGGTGGAATTCTAATTTAGGTCCCAGAAATTGTTTAAATAACCTAATGTTTTCTCGACAAGGTAGCGCGCTATAAATAAACACAGAACTTTACTTATATTTATTACTTACCTATAGTTTATTGGGTATGACAAATTTAGACATTTTTTTACTTACTTTTACTTTATAGTTTATTGGGATTCTCAACATTCCTGAAAATATTAGTGGTTAGGAGGTCATCTTCTTCAAATTACTTGGGATCCGACATACCGTTGTGGAGTTAGATTAGTATAAGTCGCGGCGCGAAGCGTCGCGCAGGCATTCAATTTGAATGCGCAACGACGTTGCGTTAGCTTGTTTTATTTATTTTACTGAACTTATTTTTATTTAAGTTTAGTTTTGAATTTCGTTTTCAGTTCTTTATTATTTTTACTATCTCTATTTTAGTTTGAGATTATTTTTAAAGTAATGTCAATTTAGCTTACTTCGGCTTATTTTTTTAGTTAATTGATTTACGTTTTAGGTAATTTCTTTAATTTAGTTAGTTTCCAATTATGGTGCACTTTGTTGTTGACAAACATTAGGGCATATGATAATTATTCCTAATTTTTCTACTTTTATAAAGTTTATTTTTTTATTTATATTTCCTTTCCCTTGTGTTGCCCAGACTATATACTCTTTATTTCTCTCAATTCTGTATTACAGAAGGATGTGGCGTTCGCGTGCTCATCTGGGACCTCAAACCGTATTCTACCAAAATTTATGATGGATAGCACCCAAAATATACTGCTCTACGGTGCCAGTACAGCTCTTGGCAATGATAGATTAGCAAATCCCCTACGAGGTAGCGGTTTTGAAGAAGCGTCATATGATTAGATAGGTTGGGTAGGTAAGTAGGTAATTCAAATAGCTCAAAGGACATTTGACAATACCTAGTTCTTGAGAAGGGGACTAGAATTATGCAAGTTTTATCAAATTATCATCTGTCTGGCGCATTTCCGACATCGGAATATAGCCCACCATCAATGCCAGCAGAAGTGCCTTTCTAGTAGAAATTATGATGTACTACTTTATATGGGGACTTTATGTGACTTTTCGACAGAACATAACAGAGATATTCTACAAAGGAATGCAATCCATGGTAATGTTTATCATTTGTAGGGGTAGGGTCGCGCCAAAGAAACGGTGTGGATACCTGATAGCAAACTTCAAGATTAAAATGAGTCCACTGGCTCCAATAATTCCGACAATAACCTGCGGAACTCTGAATGTCACAGGAACTGAAAGAGAAGATAACAGCCCACTAAAGTTCTTCTGAGTAAATTAAAAAATTCCAACAAATGTTGTTTCAGTCAGTGTCTTATACAAAATGGTGACAGTGCTATGATGCATAATTCCGTATTCAAAGTTGTGACGCAGATAATGTTATTGCGCGCAAGTGTAACAAAATCGAAAAAATGTTTTTTCCATGCTTTACATCATATGAATCTCTGTATTCTGCTCCCGTAGCATTCCGGGACCATTTATGTTTATCTGTTGAAAAAATACAAGACAAAGCAGATAATGACACTATAACTATAACTATTTATATATTCTCTTGGAATTGTAAGAGAGTTCTCACTTTATTTTGGAAATTGTCAAACATTCAATGTTTGCAATATTATTTATCATGACATTTTAGGATTCCCCGCTCTCCTAAAATCTATTACTTTTTACATAAATACTGATATGTTGGATCTTATTTCTTCAAAGAAAGATTAAATTATTTCTTTCGAAATACATTTAAATATGTATTTAGTCTGCTGCCTAGAACACTAATTCTTCAGTGGATGCTGATGGAACTCGATAGTGAGCCCCAAGGCTGAATGAGACGAGTGAATCCCGTAAACTGTTGATGAGCGTACATCCACTGAAAAGTAACTACTGTCATCTTAGTTCCAAAATCTCTTAAATATAGCAATTTGCCGTACCAGGAACTTGCAAGTGATCAACAAGCTGTCATACTAAATGGTCATAAGTCACGTCTTATGCATTGATTTTGCCCTAGTTTTCTCTAAAATATGCAGCTGTTGCTCCATTTTTCTCATAATATGTGTCAATTGTCAAAGTTGTTTGATTTGATTCATTTTGCAGAAAAGGATGGATTGGGCCAAATAGTGACAACAAGCGTGTTAGCCTGCATTCTAAATTTTCCAGCCAACACTAATCAAATTGCTTTTGAAATATGTATCTGTTTTTTTCTTAATCAGCATTGCAATACCTCTGAAACATGGCGATAGTAGACCAAAATCACGTCCAGGATAACGACTGGGATTGGGCCAAATTTTTGTGTTCACAATTGTGAAAGTCCGTCTTCCGGATAAGAGTACGCTGTTGAGTTCTAATATCTCCTCAAAGCCCAAGGCACTCATGTTGGTGGTTCCCCCAAAGATTGCAGGTTTGAAGGTGAAGACGTAGAAATCATAATATTCAATTGCTTCGCCGACGGAATGGGAAAAACTGTATGTCACATTTGGCAAAACTGGAACCGTAAACGATCCTCTACTAAGTGGAGCGAAGAAATTCGTGTTGGTTGGTAATACATCATCATTTTCGGCGTAGTTAACGTAGGTCAAGCGAATGGCTGAGGCCACAGCGGACGCAAGAGACACGTGAATTTTCTGTGGTAAAAAGGAAAGAAGTCAAACATTACATTTAAGCCAATATTTATGAGTCTGGTTAAAGGCAACATAACTGCAATTTAAATAAAAATTGGACCCACCTATCGGTTGGATTCTTTAAGCGCAGGCTGACTAAAACACGTAGAATACCCCGAGCACTTTTCAGCACTTCACATCATCAACTTACTCCTAACCACCACCGCCACCACCGCCATCAACATCATAATGCTGCCCGTCACGCGAGTTTAGGGCTGTGGTTCTCTCTTTCCTCGGAGAAACACTGGACTTAGACACTGTCTTCCAACCTGTCATTGCTATGTGATTGGATGGCAACGAAAACTATGACGGAACTGAGTATCACCATTTGTTTCTGCTTTCACCGACTACAGCCCTGGCAGCCAAAGTGGAATCGAAACCTTCCAATTAACGGTGTTCATAAGGAAGAAAGCATGGGAACCGAGCAGACATCCTGTTTGCCTAACTGCATTCAACAGGAAAAATGATTTATGCTTACTACAAGTTGACCGCCACCAAGTGGTTTGGGAGTTTATTCGCTCTTATGATAAGCCTTATTAGACAAACTGCCATAATTTTCCATTTTCTCATCTGTTGTAAAACAAAATTAATTAAATAATCAAACAGAAAATTGGAAGACGTAGGCGTTTTGAGCACCGGAATCGTAATTTTATTCTTCTGAGCTTTCGGGCTGTTGCAGGAGTCCATCGTCAGAGATAAACCGTCAACGAAAAGCGAGCAACAGCTATGGAAGGCAGGACCCAATAAAATGTTATAGGGGAGGGGGGGAGAGGAGGAGTTGAGGAAACTCATTAATCACCAGTGCCGGACATGCGGATGTGCATGCGGAGGGCGATGTATGCGGGTGCCAGCTCAGTTAACCCGTTGGCTGGGTTTTCATCCGAGGCCCAGACTTCAATTAGTTCTCGTCCTGTCTTGCTGCCCGCGTGAGCACTTATCTTTGCGGCTGCGAAGTTAAATTCATAGCAGGTCTTATAGGCGTGGGCGGCTACTCGCGACAATGCGTCACCCCGTCTGACAGCCAGCTTATGTTTGTGTGTGCGTGAACACAGTATTCGTCCAGTCTGTCGGGTGTGCTTTCTGGGACAATTTAGACATGGTATGCGATACACTACGCCCGACTGCTCACTGGGACTTGAGCCGTCCTTTATTCTCGTGATTCGACTCACTTTTCTTTGACGATTTGTCCCTAACGATGGACTCTCGCAAGAGCCCAAAAGCTCAGAAGAATAAAATTACGACTCCGGTGTTCGAAACGCCTTCATATTCTATAAAAATATCTGGAATGCAAACCTTTGCCTCAAACAGAAAATTATCTAGGGCAGGATGTGAGTATTCGTCATGGGTCGAGTACGTGGGGTGAAAATCCCTGTCACGTGCCCGGGCTTTATAGCTGTCACCAGAGCATGGGGGTGATATGTGGTCGCACACATTTGACTTGCTTCCACTTTTGGCTTTTAAAAAGTAATCTATTTTATTTTTCTGTTTTCTACTAGTTCGTGTTCATTCTCCATTTTCATTAAATCTGTATGACGCATATTATTCCTTGATGAAAAATTATAAATGATTTGCTATGATATATTTAGTGCTATCATGACAGTTAGAGAGCTTGCCAAATTTCGGTGGGTACCTTACATACAAAACACTCTATTAACATCCACTCAGCTCTCCCTCTCTCCTTCCTCGCCCACTTTGATCTGGTGAAAACGCAAAGGCAGGACGAAGGTAGATGACCATGGACGCAGTGACTGCTAGAGTTAAATGGCTCTTAAGTACGTGCCACGCATGACTTTGTCCCCACTACGCGGTCAGTGCTCTAACGTATGAGTGCCATAATGGCCACATTTATGGATGACTTTTAGTCCTCGGTCTACCCGAAACGACTCCCCTGGAGATCGATTTATTTTGTGAGTTAGCAACCATCTAAGCCACAATGCACATCTACCAAAAGCACTCCTCAGATTTCTTCTGCTGAAGGATGTGTAAGTTTGTTATGGGGACGGGTGTCACAGTGATGGGTGAGCGCTCACCGATCGCTGACGGAAGTCGCACCTCCGGTTTTGCCCAGGCGCTCAGTTTGCAGCCCCGCAAGAAGCCGCAAAGTGGCTAGTATTTCAGGTAGAAAAAATATCGCTGAAAATGTGAAGAGAGACCAGAAGAGCCAGTTCTGGCTTATGAGTGGTCATCGGCCGGCCATATCGAGGCACCAATTTTTCAGGAGGAGGAGGATGTGGGTCCTGTATCAAACAATTTGACTATGTTTCCATATTCAGGCATAAGTAGAGGGCATCACCATGCATAGCACTTAAATTTTGCCCTAGTGTCCCGTGTCTTCACCCTAAGCCGCACTTTTATCCTTAGTAGTATTAGCAGAGAATGATTTAACTAGCAGGTCCTCAGAATTTCTTGATTGTGTATGTGTGATTTAGTGAAAATTAAGGTAACCACGGTTGGAGCAATTGTTCTCACGTACAGTAGTTCCCAAACTTTTGAAATGTGTTCGCTATTATTCATCTCAGTCCTCCAGCTTGCTCAGCGTGAGAAAAAAAAGTGCCAATTTTTTGAGCTGGAAATAAACACTCACACTTTCGAGGATGAAGGAAGAAATGTTGAAGCCCTGACCAGCTGGAAGTGCGGACATCATAAATGTACATTGGGCAGCGGCTCCGAGTGTTCCATTGTCCGAGAGAATATATCGCCAAAGACGTAGCACATCATAGGTTATGACGTTGGACGGATCCACCTGAATAATGGCAGTCTCGCTGTTCTCACAGAAGGACATATTACTCACCATGTCAAAAAAGTAGGAAGAGATCGATGGGCGAACCAGGAGGATAATGGCTATAATGTTAAGTATTTTTAAATTTCAATTCTTTTTCTTTAATTTTAATCTTAAAAATAAAGTCATACAATGAAAGTCAAAAAGATTATGTTTACAGGCAGAGCAGAGAGTTTAGTTCTACTTGTGTCCTGCCTCACTAAGGCAAACTGACAAACTGGCATGATAGGGTGAATCAAATACAAGGGTGGCAATATTGGTTATAAAAATATGAAGAAGCATACACGATCAAAAGTGCATGCACTCTGACTGACCGGTTAATAAGTCCTGAACCGGAGTACCGTCAGTGAAATGAAGAATGAGGGAAAGCGACCAAAATATAGGGATGAGAGGTGAGTTGCCACATCCCAGCTCATCGATATTATTATTTAAATATACACTGAGAGACGGTTTTCACTTTGTCAATGAAATTAGGCATCACAATATTGCCGGTAAATATCGGATATTCCTGGACGTTGAGTCACTATTTACCAACGTGCTTCTAGATGAAACATTGATATCATTTGTGCATGTGCTTGCGAAACTCGCCTGTCCCCGGATATATTACGAGACTTACTACAATTATGCACAAAGAATGTCTAATTCCTATTTAGTGGCCTACTGTATAGACAAGTTGACGGAGAAACAATGGGTTGTCCTCTTGGTCCTACCTTTGGAAACATATTTATGGGTCATCTTAAAGAAAAAGTATCTCCAACATTGAAAAGGACAACATTCTACAGAATATGTGTAGAGGATTTTTTTGCGATTGTTGAAAATATAAAGGAAGCCGAAGAACTACTGTTTACGATGAACAGACTGCACCCGAAAATGATATTTACGATGAAAGTAGAACGTGAGAACCAGCTTTATTTCCTAGACAGAAAGACTGTTCCATAAGAAAACATGGAAAGGGCAGTACTTGCATTATCTAAGTTTTGCTCCAGTGCAATGGAAACGTAACTTATTTTGCATTCTCTTCCAGAGGACAAGCAAAATCTGCTCAATAGATACACTGCATGCAGAAATTGCCAGGCTCAAGGAAACTCTACTCAAGCGTGGATACCCAGATCAGTTTATTGGCAATTATAGCAAACCCTTACGGCAAATGGTTGTAGAACAGTCAGCTCCAAAAGTCCGTTTTCATATCCTTTCCCTTTAAAGGGGGACAACATTTTAAACACAATCAAGAGACGCTTACGTAACATCATTGAAAGGACCTACTTCGCTGCTAAGCTCGTATTTTGCAACTCGACAAAGACCCTTTCGATTCCATTTGCGAAGGATGTCTTGCCATTGTACGCCACTTCAAATTGTATTTACGAATTTACATGCACTTGTGGATGCAAGTACATAGGGCGAAAATAACGGTAATTGGCAGCCAAAGCTAAGGAGCACTTGCGGAGTTTGCTATTAAAACAGGAGACTAGGACTCCCCGTTCTTCCATTACTGAACACCTATTGGATACGGGCCATTCTGTAGACCCCAAAACATCCTTCCGAGTACTTTTTCGGGAACGAACAATTCGTAACTTGCGCTCCCTGGAGGCAGCCCGTATACGACGGTCAAAACAGTTGGAACATGTTGTGAACCTTGCTTTTCCCTGGTAATATCCGCCTCCCTGATTCACGCCTCCCCCTGCCCGCATTTTTGCTTTACCGTTTATACCCCTATCTCACTGTCCACAGTGCTTCAGTTGCTTACGTTACTAATTAGAGTAATTAGCCCAATTTACTAATTGACCTTCCTGACCTGTTTCTATGACCTCTT